GGAGAAATCTTAATTGTCAAAAATGGAACATCATGTCCAGGAATTCTATGCTTTATTTTTTTTTTTTAACATAGACCCTGCGGGTTAGTTTGTTTGTTTGGGGGGGGGGGTGTCTTCAATAATATGACAAACAGCCGTGTCATGAAGAACACTTGCGGTTATAACTCAAAATAATAAACAAAAATGACAGACGTCTTTTCTCAGCAGTCTTCTTTCAGCTGTGTCGTCCAAAGCAGCCTCCCTGTCTTGGTTGACAAAAACTATAGACTTCTTCTGCACGAGGGGGCGACTTTAAGTTTATTACGTGTGACAGTCAAGAGCCTGAAACCTTTTCACCACTGACATCGACTTGATAAGAGTTCTGGTTTTGACAGGCAACAACAACAACAAACAGAAACGGAGAACTGTTATATTTATACCGTATCACTATAATATGCAACAGAATGCCTAAAATAAACAGCAATTTCAGTGAAGTGTGTGTGTGTGTGTGTGTGTTTGTGTGTGTGTGTGTATGTGTGTGTGTGTGTGTGTGTTTGTGTGTGTGTGTGTGTGTGTATGTGTGTGTGTGTGTGTTTGTGTGTGTGTGTGAGTGTGTGTCTGTGATTGATTGTGTGTAGTGATGGGTGAGTACATGTAAGTGAATGGGTGAAAGAGTGTGCTTGTGTGTTAGTGAGCGTTCGCAAAAGCGTCCATATATGCATTCCTTTCAGAAGAAAAAAAAAGTTCACCATTCCCTGAGATCACATGACGAGCATGACGCATTCCTATTGTCCCAATCTGTTCCCAGCTTTTAAGCTAGAAAACAACACTCAACAGAGTCGACCGACTGCATTATAAAACCGGCATCAGCCCAACACCTGTCTGTTTTGTCAAGTGAAGTGGTATAAAACAACAACAGACCACCCGAACCTTTTATTGAAATCTGATGAGCAGACGCTAGATACATATCTAAAAAATATAGGTTCAGTCACTTACCTCGATCTAATTTGATTTGATGCACTGTTTTTCAGTAATTTAATGTAGTGTGCACTTTGCCACTTTGGTCTGGCGCTCAGTATTAGTCAATTTGATGAGAAAGGAAAATTATTAATAGGAAGATTATGTATGAGGGGACTGTGAAGAATATTCCGCTGTAAGAATTGAAGAGAGTATAGCAAGTATGATTGAATTAAAAGGGAATAAAAGAGGAATCAAGAAAGATTGTGTTAACATTAATGGTGAAACAATCCTTAGAAATATATTTTTTAAAACCTAAGTTTCAAAATGAAGGGTTGATAATATTAATATAATAACATCAGACGCCGATGACAATTTTTATTGTAAATTCAGAAAAGGACACATTTTTAAACAGCTTCTTGATACTGTTGTGATGAAAAGTGAACATTATGTTTTTAAAAAAAAGCAGTGTAGATCCTATTTTTGTAATTTCATATACATACAAGCAAGGATGAAACGGTCAAACAAACTCAATAGTTCAAATTCTAAGATTTATCATTACAGGAGATGCCAAATGAACCACATAACCATCCAAAAAAATTGTAAAGGAACTGCAATAACGAAGACAGTTTCGATAAAATTAGTTCAATCCCGAACTACAGCAACCTTAAAATGACACACAAACTATAAGTTTCAAGGTTATGTGTGGTCAGCTGTTCTATACGGCTGTATCTGCTGGACAATTATCAAAGAGAGGGACTAAAAACTTCTTTGGAGTCTTGAAAATTTCATAAAAACTTAACCGAAAAGAAATCAAATGGGGTATTGCTGAACAAAGCCTGAGAGAGCTGCTCACTTATTATAAATAGGAAGAGGCAAAGGCAGTTTAGTTTCTGGGACACATGAAAAGACATTTATAAGGGCCTTTGACATCTTGCTTTCATTTGGGAAAAAACAGAAGGCAAAAGAGCCAGGAGTAGACAAAGAAGAACTTACAGTGGTTAGAGAACTTGGAACAGATGGGTGACGGGGAAAGTGAAAGACCCAAGACAATAATAATATATGCATAAAATACTATATGTACATGTTTTTGAGAGTATCCAAGCAGAAAAAAAGAGTGGCAAACCATGATCATCTATGTCTGTTTCAAATGTGGCACTTTATGATGATAATGACGATGAGTCATCACCCTACTTGTACTTTGGGAGCTCATGAGGCAAATGTTTTACCCCCCCCCCCCCTCCCCAAACATCAATTTAGAAAATACAATTGCAGGGTTTGAGAGATCAAAGTGAGTAGTGAGTAATTGAACTGAGCTACCACCACGTGCACAGATCTCGCGGACAACATTTGTGTCATAATCCACAATCTGCTGCACTACACTGTAGCCACACCTCACCAGCAGCCCTATAGCTATACCCACTCTATAATAACTGCCAGAATAACACTGCAGCACCCCTCCCCCACCAAATCTTTCTCTGTGCACCCGAAGCAGCTGTTGTCAAAGGAAAAAGTGTTGCATCCATTAATTATAGCTCAATCCTCCACCGCCACCCCCCCCCCCTTTCCCGAACACTAGCAATGCCTGTGTCACGTGCGTTCAGAGTTTCCGTGAGCAACAAGAGACAACGAGCGAACTAACAAACAAACGCGTTCACGGCTGGCTGTGGTTTTCAGTTGCACATCATGATCAAGCGCACCCAACTGAAATTAGCACGGAAAGGTGTGGGAATGTGTGTGTAATGTGTGTGAGTGATGGCGACTACGTATATGATGGGAGAGAGAGAGGGAGAGAGAGGGGGAGAGAGAGAGGGAGGGAGGGAGGGAGAGAGAGAGAGAGGGAGGGAGGGAAGAAGAGAGGGAGGGAGGGAGGGAGGGAGGGAGAGAGAGAAAGAGAGGGAGAGAGAGAGAGAGAGAGAGAGAGAGAGAGAGAGAGAGGGAGGGAGAGAAACAGACAAACAGTAATTTAAAATCTAGAGCTAAAGTGAGAGAATCGTAACTTTCTGCGGACATCACTATGATCGCGCAACATCATAGAGAAGAAACAGAGCAGTAGCTAGACGGAAGAGCGTTCTTGACAACAAAGCATCATCTAATGACTAATGACATGTATTGACTTTAAACTTAAACTGAACAAGACATCGCAATAGCAACCAACAATGGTGTGGTGTGAAACATTTCAAGTGAATCGATGGAAGCTACAACAGTGGAAATATGAATGAAAAAACTATTTAAAGTTTCCCCATCATTGTGATGAAAACTGTTTTTTTCTTCCTTGTTTCCCCTTAAATCTTTCACAGAAAAAAATGGAATTCCTCTTTCTTTTTTCAAAAATTTAAGCAGGAAGAGGGTGAAAAACCAGTAAAACATTTTTGCGAACAGAAAAAAAAAAGTAAAAAAAGAAAAGAAGCACCAGGAACCCCTGACCAAAGTACAAAAGACCAGAAATGGCACAAAGGTCTGGCATGTTCATGTATCCATTCTTATGGCATAATAATTGACTTTAAGGCCAAAAGTGAAAGTTGCGCACGCAAAATTCAAGTGGATGTGAACCCATAGAGAGGGACCTAATGATCAACACTGATAATAATCCAAATGCAAATTCATAGCAAAATCTGCAACCAGGAGGATTTAATTTCCATAAACTTCACATGACCAAAATGGAAGGAAAATTATTAAACTCCTGTCAGAACTGAACTCTAAACTTCCACGTACTGGACACATTTGCCATTAAAATGTGTATCACAGTGGTACGATGGATCGACTTTGAGTGCGAAAAATCTTTTAAAGACCAACATGCTCTATAAAAATTTCTCCTCGCTTGGATCTCCATGTCACAGTGAACAGCCTGTAAACTAAACACTACATCACAGACACAGGTCCAGATGAGACAAAAGTTTTAAAAAGTCAACTTTTCCAACAGCAACAGTAGCTACACAGGACTTAAAATAAATTCACACTTAGAGCGCAACAAGAAAACCAAATCTGACTGAGTTTCATATATAAACAAGAGGTCCCATTTTAACTTTGGACACTGCATACTTCAGGTGGCACCACAGGTCTTCAGTCCCTGTTTAGTTTGTAATGTAAATTACAAATTACAAATATCACATTTAATCATTACAACATTTCAATAGAAGGCTCGAATCCGGTTAACGACGGATATTTTTCTTCTCTAAATTCTTGTCTCCTTTCATCTACTTTCTTGTTCTCAAGCAATGTTCTGTCATCAGCTTTCATCTCCACTTTCAGGAAAAATCTCGGGAGGTCCTGTGTGCAAGTTGTGCACGTTAAAGATCCCTAAGTCCATAAGAGTAGGCTTCGGCCGCCACCCGGGCAAAATTCAAAATTACATAAAAACTGAAAATGTTTAATGTGTCCAGCACACTCATGACCTTAGGCAGTTGCGAGCGCCGTAAAACACTTACAAACAAAAAAACAGTAGTATAAATTTGGATATAGATCTAGATCTAGATATATATATTTGGGTTTATTTTAACACACATAAAAGTTTTCCTGTGTAAGGCATCTTCTTCACAATCTCACGAAAGATGGCATAGGAGGCCAGATTCACACTGCCGCACTTGTCTGTCACTCTCCTCCAAGGCATGCTCCAAATTTACAAACAAAGTCATGATTCATAGCTTCATAAAAGGCATGGCACATGCGCATGTTTTTGCCAAATGCAGAATAAAAATTAAGCCAAAAAGCCAAAGAGACCTGTGCAGAAAAGTGTTTATATATATACAAAAAATAAATTATTTCAGTAGGCTGGGAAAGGTCTTTCAGATAGGAGAGTGAACGCTGTCAAATAACTCATCAAAAAGATGATCTAAAAACACTTGTTTGTATATATATATATTTTTGTTGGTGTTCAATTTTGTCATAAAAGTCAGAAAATTCAAAAAGAACTGTTGAAACGCTTATTTTCCTGTGGGTGGCCATAGCTCTGACATTCTTGATGTTTCAATTTTCCAACCCCTTCTGCTTTTTTTTTACCTCCCCGCCCATCTTTACACAAAAACACCCCCTGAAAGCCATCCTGCCAAAAGTAAAAATCTTACCTTTGCCAATCTTGCTCTCTTGATCAGGTCATTTAATTTCCGTAAGGCAGCATTTCTCGGCAACATCTGAAGATCTCTGAATAAATCCTGTTCTTCTAGCTCAAAAAGGCGCCGATTCATATCAAACTGTAGAGGCTGATCCCAAAATGATCCAAGGTACACTCTTGCTACTTCAGGTGTACTGAGAACTTTTCCAAGCGACCACATAAGAGCACCATAAACCCGCATGAGTTGTTGGTGGTCGACCATGTCAGCTTTATTGAGAACTATGCGAATTTTATCATCATGACCTTTGATTGCTTCAATGGCTCGTCGAAACTCATCTGAAATATCAAGCTTGTGGGCATCAAAAAGCAAAATGATTCTGTCAACCCTTTCTGCAAACCATTCGAGAACTCCAGCAAAGTCATATCCTCGGTCCACTCTCTGCTTCTCGCCGGAGAGAATACCAGGGGTGTCGACAATGGTTATACTGTCTAAAACAGGATTGTTCATGTGTGAGCACTGAAATCTGTTTAGAAAGGCGTTTCCAAATTTCGTCAAAGGCCTAAATTGCTTTTTGGGATCAACAACAAGAGCATTTCCTGGTACAACACCTTCTTGATCAGAATACATTACAGAAATGAATCTATCTGTGGTTGGTTCAGGCCCAATTCGTATCCCAGGGAAGTCTTGTTCCAGCAGGTACCGAATAAAGGTGGTTTTACCTGTTGAATACTGACCTATCAAAAGAATCATGGGCTTGGCATCAAAATCGGGATCATCCAGCGGTGGGGAGTGAAAATCATGGAATCTGTATGTTTCTTCTAATGGCATCAACTTATTCTTGTAGATTTTCTTGAGCCCTTCGACGACATTGTTGAACACCTCAGGTTCTTTCTTTCGTTTTGATTCATCTGTCATCCACCTCATCATGGTGGCTATGTGTGTGTAACTATTGTTACCTGCCCGAAAAGGTACTGAATCCTTTTTTGAGTGCTGGCGGCTTCGATAAATCCAAAGTGTAGTCACACAATTATGAGTATGACTTGTCCAGTCTACCCAAGCCTACTGCAGCAATCAGTGACGAATGAACCGGAAGTTGGGATAGAGGGTGACTTGAACGCATGCTCCAAGCCCCGCCTTTCCCTTTCACATTGAACTCTGAACTTTCAAGGCTGTATGCTGACGTCAAGGTAATGTTTTGGTTTACATTGTAGGAAATTCGTGTCTTTGTTGTTCCTGAGTTGCTGTCGCTGAATTTTCACCATTACTGAAACAGTTGTTACTTTCCTTGTGGTATGTATGGTCAGCAGCTTCAAGTTTTGACTCGATAGAAAACAGTGCTTCATAAATTTGCTCTCTGTCACGGGAATTGTTTGGGATCATCGGTAAAAATAATTTATAACGTAGCCATCACCACGGCAAGAGTCACAAAACTGTGTGATATCGGACTCGACTCGGATGAAAAAATGGCATCCGTTTGAGTTTGTAACGTTGGCCTCATGGACAGAAATCTGTCCTGTCATGAGCAAGTATCACTGGCCACCATGAATGTTCAATAATGGATTTACTTTGAGAGTAGTGTCTTCTAATAACAGCTCCAGGACTAGATATAGATCTAGGACAAAATATGTGCTGGTCGGGTCAAGTGGGAACAAGTCAAGCTGTAGCCTACATTTCCATGTCAGTCAGCTGTGAATTTTGTTTATATTTAAAGTAGGCGGACATGATGGCCTACAGAGAGAGAGAGAGAGAGAGAGTAAGACTCATGATTGTGTCATATTGGTTTACGGTCCAATTGGTTTATTAACTTCATCAAGTTCATCTGGTGAAATTCTGGGGGGGGTGAGGGGGGCTAATAACACAGTAATAGGCCTACATCACATATATGTCTTGTATTTGTGCGTGTTTCGGACAATAATTATAACATAATAGTGCAAGTAGCCTTATAATTTATAGTCAAGAATCAATAAGTCGAACAAGCAAAACCCAAAATTCACGGATAGCCTTTTCCCTACCAAACCGCGATATTTCTATTTGTATAATAAGCAACAGTTTTCTCGAATAATGAAATATACATGCACAGATGTGCCGAACAGCTGATCTCGAAAAGTCTGTAAACTTTTCCTCACAATTGTCTTGAAGAATTGAAATCGCCCTACGCGTAAGAAGTAGGGATGGGCAGGTACCGGTACCCAGTGCCGGAACTCCCGGTTCTACCGAACAAGGTGTCAGTACCGGCACCAGGCCTGCAGTACCGGCTCTGTGAAGGAGCCGACACCAACGACCAACTGTTTTTTACCAGGCCACGGGAAGTGTGCTGTGTGTAGGCCTAGGCTTAGCCTAGCAGCTGTGACGTCAGATGCACAACGCAGCAGGTGACCTTGATACATGACTTCAGATTCAAAATTGACAATCAAAAACAAAGTTAGCTTCAATTTAAATACAGTGGAACTCGGATTTAACAAGCTCGGATTGAACGAGAACTCGGATTCAACAAGATGAGATAGATTCCCCTTTTTTTTTCTTCTTTAAGATCAATAAAAGTAACCCGGACTCAACGAGCACTTAAATCAGCGAGCTCGGATTTAACGAGGTCGCTTCCAGAGTGAACAGCCCCCGCGGACGTGGCTTCGCTAATTTTTCTCCTAGAACGAACTTTATCTATTCCCGGAAACCATCCTTTGCGCCTGCATCGTGAACCATTTGTCACTTAGCTCATAATATGCAGGCATTTCAGACACTACTTGTGACTTCTCTTGTACATTACTTGCTCAGTGCCTGTAATCATCTACACAAAACCTCGTGTTTGCTATAACGAACACTCGGAATCAACGAGATTTTAGGTCAGGCCCGACGACCTCGTTGAATCCGAGTTCCACTGTATGACATCAAATCAGGATCCACGAGAGCCACTTTGCTTATTTTGATACGCTGATTCCGTGATTCCGAAAATGAAATCAATTTTTAGCGGCGATAATTATTTTAAAAATTCTGCATGCACGTGGCGACAAACTTCAAAGGTATTTTGCGTCTTAGGATATGCCTGTTACAAGTTAGTTCCTATCTGAACGCTTTTTGAAAGGACCCACCGCCCTGTGCAACTGCAAATTGTTCCAGTTAAATATTTAGGGATGATTCTGCTTGTGACTCAATTTCTTGCGAAGGTCTGAGGATTTTCTGTTGGGAGGTGTTTTGGTGTTATGTCTTAGATCATTAAGGAGAAGGGGGGGTGGGGGCTTTTTTTATCTTGCTTGTCACTGAGGGTCAGGGCCAGCGTGAACTGGGGAGAACACTGTTTCCCAGGCCACTGATATGTAGAGGTACAAACCCTGTTATACCCCCTACCTTGGGACAACATGAAGTTGGCGGTACACGGCTGTTACCGACCACCAACTTAGTCAAACCGCCAGCCCGCGGCACTCCCCGTAACCCGATACTCTGTTACCCCAGTCACCGGGTCAGCGCCGCCGGTTCACTGCCGATGCCGAGTTACGGTTGTTTTCTTATCACACGATGTTTTTTAAGCATATAAACTGAGACAGTAAACAAAAACTATTCTAGTGATCTCACAGAAAATCACACACACTGAACTATCAATATAGTGTGGGCACGTAGAAGCGATCGTGAAACTGTACTGGGTACTGTTGCAGACATACGGATGCCATAAAACTGTATAGTAATTATGCAAAGTTGTAAAGGGGTCTGATGTTTTAAGTAAAAATTGAACATGATCTTTGCTTTTGATTTTGACAAAATTAAGGAAATATGATGAAAATAGGATAAAGTAAACACTCACGTGGTGGCATCATTGTACGCTCCGTCAA